GGTAAATGTAACACCTGCCACATGTATTATTTAATTTTCTAAGTTTTAGGGTTTTGATGCTGGGACTTGATGAGTTGGGAGCCCCGACTCGTCGAGTAGAGGACATTTTGAGGATGCGGGATCTAGGCCCTACTTGACGAGTAGGCACTGTAAAGGTAAAACCCTAATTTTAGGGTTTGCACCCTATATAATCTCTTTGAGGCTGACCTTCTAGTAGCCTCCAAACCCTAAGAACACCTGTGCTAAACCCTAACCCTCATTCTCTTTTATTTTTATGAGTTATAGTGACTTATGGAGCTTGAAAAGAGGGAAATAGTTAGAAGAAGAAGGAGAGCTAGCAAATCAAGCCTTCACTCTTGAGTTGGACCGTCTTGTGGACTGTGGTAAGTCTTCAAGATTCGATTTTTATCTGAAAATATGCTAGATCTTGAGTTTACTCTTCATTTCCTATCATTCCTATTGATTGCATGCGTGAGGTTCATAAAGTTTGCTACTTTATGGATCTCCAGGGAAAAATAGTCCCAAGGTAGGCTAGATCTAGCTTTTAATCAATCAAGGATGCCATGCTAGGTTTTTTAGAGAATATTTATGCTTTTTGGCCATTTTAACCTAAAGACATGAAATGGACATGCATGTCCCTAAAGCCTCCATCTTTGGACTGTTTTGAGGACTAGAAACTCCTCTGGAAAAGAGGGATTCCAGTTCCTCAAGTTTTGGGAATGCATGGAAATTTTTTTGAGCTTTCCAACCTTAGATAAGGACCTTAGAGCATTTGGAGTTGTTATAGAGGGTAAAGTTGGAAACTTTATCCCTATGGACTCCTTAGGGTTTCAGATCTAAGCCATAGATTCCCTACATTCGGTGAATCATCTTACCTTGCCAACACATCATTCGTGAGAAATGAGTCTCCTCACCATACCAATGGGTCGAAGGCACCAAGGCCAGCCCATTCTGTGTGATATGTGGCATGCTTGTTGATTATAGAGATACGTGTTGCGATAGTTAGTTATGTTAGTGCTTTGCTATCTATATGTGTTACTTGCAAGGAAGACCATGGGGAGAGCCCATGTCATTTGAATGTAAGACCATGTGGGGGACCCATGGCTTTTCAAGTAAAGACGATGGGGGAGACCATAACACCTGGGTGTAAGACCATATGGGGGAGCCCATGGCTTTCCATTTAAAGACCATTGGAGGAGCCAATGACACTTAGGTATAAAAGCATGTGGGGGAGCCCATGACATCCTAGAGTAAGACATGAATTATGGTTTAACTTATAGTGGATATCCTTCTGTTTTAGAAGGTTATTCAGATGCCAGCTGGATTAACAACTTAGAGGATCACTCCTCTACTAGTGGTTGGGTGTTTCTTCTTGGAGGAGGTGCCATTTCTTGGGCATATAAGAAACAGACTTGTATTACTAACTCAATCATGGATTATGAGTTTGTTGCTTTGTCTTTTGCTGGTAAAGAAGCTGAGTGGCTAAGGAATTTGATTTATGAAATTCCATTATGGCCCAAACCGATATCTACCATTTCTATCAGATGTGATAGTGTTGCAACCTTGGCTAAGGCTTATAGTCAAGTGTACAATGGAAAGTCTAGACATTTAGGTGTTAGACATAGCATGATTCGTGAGCTCATCATGACTGGTGTGATATCTATGGAGTTTGTACGAACTCAGTTGAATTTAACCGATCATCTAACCAAAGGGTTAGCAGGAAATCTTGTGCACAAGGCAGCTGTAGGGATGGGTTTAAAGTCCACTTAAATCTTTTATATTGAGATACCCAATTCCCATCTAATGCAATATTAGATGCTGAATTCAATGTGGAAAGATTGATATTTGAAGATTGGAACACATTTTATTATCATCCTAAGGTATGTGTTCAGTATTGCAAGTTAAGGAGGTTGAAATTTTATTTCTTAATAGTTCTTTGAAAATTTTCATTTGCAGGTGCAAGAACAAAAGAACTACCTATATAAGCATGAAGTTTAGCTGCTTCAAGAAGTTGGGACTTGACTTTGATATGCTTATTGAAGGATGGGACACAAGCTAGTAAAATATAGTGTCAAGTTAGAACTTTGAGAATGTAAACTGTTGTGTATATTATCTTCATGTATTCACTTAGAATAGATAATATACTAATGTGAAATTCAATCGTCACGATATTTCATTTATGCATTAGTTTTGTTGGTGTTATGTTTCATTTTAAGTTAATCAAGATTACACTTAAATGACTCTTTCAAAAAAAAATTACACTTAAATAGGGGAGGTTTGTTGGTGATTTGTTATCATCAATGTTATTTAAGTCTAATGGGATTACTTTGTTGACTAAAAATGATCTTGATAAATATTGAACAAGTAAGGAAGGTGTGGAGTACACACTTGTTTAAGTTTGATCATGTTTCAAAGTATACTGTCATTTAGGGGTGAAGCCCCTGAACGAATGGGGGTTCGGAGGCAGCGCCCCTGGGAGCGGGGTCCAAGGGGCAGAGGCCCTGGCTCCAGGTCAGCATGAAATTTTTTTATTTGGGTTATATTGCTGTATTAAAAATGCATCATAAAATCCAAATTTTGAATATTTGACCCTGTTTTGACTTTGTATTAATCCATATACAAAACCCGGATTTATAACAATAATGACTGTTGAGAAAAACTGTTATATGCCAGTTTTGACAGTTTTTCAAACAAGGAAGGTTTATAACCAATTTTAGTCATTTTTCTGGTACTCACGAAATTACACTATCTCATTCTCTCTTTCTTTCTCTCTGATTTTCTCTGAGTCTTATTCAATTGAGGATTTGGGAGTACCACCCAAATATTTCGATTTGAAAGTGATTATCACGATTCTCAGATTTCCAAGTGCCACTAAACCATATTTCTAACAAAATATTCGACTTATATGACGTTTTTGAACTCCAACATGATTATAACATAAATCTTTAAATTCTTCATACCCCATTTTATGCCTAATGATATTTGAAGAGCTAAAAGTTGAATGGTCACCCTTTACGATACCATTCTCATATTCAATATTACCACCCCAATATAAAACAGTCATAAACGGATGATCTAGAGTCATAATGCTAAATAATACGTATCTGGTTATAGATGAATGAATGATGAGCATGATAAAGAAGGAAAGAACATAAGTTTGAATTTGTGAAATAATTTCTCCAGGATAGAATGAAGTGAATAAAACCAAGTATAAGAGTTGAAATTTATAAATACCAAAAAGTGAATTGATTTAACAATTGATGATTATCTGTATGATAAGTTAGCATTTGATTGAAGGGGGATCATGACCAAACTTTGTAGTGAAATCATGAAAGTAACAACTATACTTACAATATTATATCAACAAAAATCTCCCTTTCAAATACATTCTAATATATTTAAGTTGTATTGTAATATTGTTTTTACTTGGTCTTGTAATTTCGTAAAATATATATATATATATATATATATATATATATATATATATATATATATATATATATATTCAATATTGATATCTATTTGAAGATATTTGTAAGATCTAATTAATGGTTTAAGTTATTAAAAGTAATGTTTAAGCTATAATCATATATTTTGGTTTAAATTAATTTACGTATAATATATTGCAAGGGTAAAAGTTAAATTGTTTAATAGTAAAAAATTTAAATAAAATAAAGATAAAAGCTGAAGGGCTAATTATGTAATGTCTAGGGGCTAAATTTGTAACATTTGAAATAGAAAAATCGAATCAGACGAATCATATGTAAAAAGATAAAAAAAATGTGGGTTACCTCTTAAACTCAATCTATTTCGATAATTCTTTTTCAAATTAACATACTTCTACAAACACTTTTTAAAACATTACCTAATTTTTTTTTTTTTTTTTTAAAAGTCCACTTTCATCCCACGGTATCAAAAATATCTTAAAATTTTCCAGAAAACGAAGAAGATGCTATTTTAAGAGAGAAGAGTGAAATGTTGTTCTATTAATTTTAAAAAAGAATGGTGATTTTTGTTTGAAAAATAATGAAGTGGATAATATCATTTATAGGAAAGAAAGGAAAAATGAATGAAAAAAAAAATATTCAAAATTTTGACCGTTTATGGGTCTTTTTCCCCATCAACCAATCACATTACACGACTATAAATTGCCACACTGAGGCCTAAACCACATGAGACCGTGGTTAGGAGATGGTGTGCACGGTTGAGGTGGCAAAACCACAGCTCCAAACAACAATCACTCCCTCAAACCTAATGAAACTTTTCAAATAGTTGGGCAAAAAACTAAGACTGTTTGCCTATCCCAAAAAAGATGGCCACAATAAACGTGATAAGACCCTTTTTATGGATTTAGGGACGTTGTAAACGACTCCTATGGTTGATGGTACCATTGCGGGCGATCGTGCCTCGGACCCATTTATGATAATTTGCCGGGATGATATTGCCCTCTCATTTCCAAAAAAAAAAAAAAAAAAAAAAAACCGGACAAAATACGATCAATGAAAATAATTTGTTTTTTCTTTACCAATAGTTTCATACAACGGGGTAAATCACGACTTTTTTAGGCATTATGTCCTAATTTTAAAGTTAGTCAAACAAAATTGTATAGTTATTGCGTTATACCAACATTTGATATAATTATATAAATAACATAAATTTAAGTTGAATTATTTAATTATGTTTTTTTACAAACTTCGATTAATTTTTTGTCTATTATCACATTCAAAAAGAAATAAAATACTTTTTTGAGAATATTGCATGGAAAATCAGAGTGTACCGAACTTTAAATATTTATAAACATTCCCCTTTAATTTCTGAACCTTCAACTCCATGATCAGAACTTTCATGGCACCCCTTTCCCTACGAACACAATGACGAAGGTCCAATTGCCGTATTGAGGATCGACTTCCTTCAATCTTCATCGTCATCGAAACTTACTTTCAACGGAACCAATGACATATTCTTCGATCATCGTTTGATTCAATACACGAGACTCTACAATGGGTAATGCCATTTAATCTTTGTGTCCTTTTAAGTTGATGTCATCAGATGTGATCTTTCTCTTTATCTATCTGTTTTGTATTGGATGGTTACAAAATCGATTTAATTTCGGCAATTGAATTCAAATTTGTTACGTTGTTGAGCGTTTCAATGTCCATGACCACATTAATTGCCATCGTTTTCATTAACAACAAATTGATGTTCCTTTTTAGATGCATTTGTTTGACGATGAAAAACCTACGTATTTCTGATTCACATAGATTTTTTATCATCATAACTTGACATTATCACATTTGAGGCCGCATATTTGGTAAAATTTCAAGCAATTCATTAGCAGGTATAAACGCTAGTTGAATTTGGTCCACAAATTCCATTGTTAATTGAAGGGCGTTTTCTAGAATTAGTTGATCGACAAACATTCCAAGTTCCCATGATCACACCTAATTTAGGATTGAATGATTGTTGTTGTGATTGTGTTGCATTGCAAGTTTCTGCTTTCGAACTATGATGAAAAAGATAATGGGCTAATGATGTTATATATACCCGTATATATGTTCTCCTTTTCAGAATCAGCTGCCTCCTGTTGTTCTACCCACCTGATAGATGGAGATGGTACTTTTAATGCAGCTGGACTCGAGAAATTTATGAAGGAAGTAAAACTTTCTGAATGTGGACTTTCGTATGCAATTGTTTCCATCATGGGCCCACAAAGTAGTGGTATGTTAAAGTATATATATTAATATTGTGTAAGCTAAAGTAAGTCGGTATATATTGAATATTTTAAACACACCTATTGTTTTGAACAGGGAAAAGCACACTTCTAAATCATTTATTCCATACCAACTTCCTGGAAATGGATGCTTTCAAGGGAAGGCATGCATCCATTCCATTCACTTATTACTTTGGTTTTATCTCAAGTATTCTGACTGTGGTTCATTCATATTAGGTCTCAAACCACCAAAGGTATTTGGATGGCAAGATGCACTGGTATTGAACCTTGTACTGTTGTTATGGATCTTGAGGGTACAGATGGAAGAGAAAGAGGAGAGGTTGCATACTAATTAATACTTCTCTTTCATTGGTTGAATGATTTTACATTTGTACTATGACTTATTGTATTCAATAAGCTTTTGTTTTCATTTTCAGGATGACACTGCATTTGAAAAACAAAGTGCACTTTTTGCACTTGCTGTTTCAGACATAGTGCTTATTAACATGTAAGTGTACTGATAGCTTATATTGATATATATATATTATATATATATATATATATATATACACACACACACACACACATTATCTAGAAAGTTCTATAAACTTTTATCATGTTTCACAACGAAATTTCCTGTTATTAGGTGGTGTCATGATATTGGTCGTGAGCATGCTGCAAACAAACCTCTACTAAAAACTGTATTCCAGGTATATCATGTGTATTTCTTCTCTTCCTATATATATTCTTATACGGGTAAAATTCAAGAAATAGCAACGTACTTTATTTATTTATTTATTATAGCAACTTACTTCTATTTTTCTTTATTCCAACAATGTACTTCCAAATTTTCCTTTTAAACATTGTACTTTGTAAATCTACCTAATTATAACATTGTACTGTCGATTTCTTATTAGGATATTCTAATTTGAAAAATCTACCAAATTACAACAATGAAAATTACTTTGTGTTTGGATGATATTGCTATAATTGGGTAGGTTTATCAAAGTACAGTGCTTTAATAGGAAGAAATGGAAGTAGAATGCTCGAATATACAAGTAAATGAAAGTACATTTCTTATATATATATAATATATATATATATATATATATATATATATATATATATTATATATATATATATATATATATATATATTGGCCAACTTCTTAAGTTAGGATTTTCCTTTTTAGGTGATGACACATTATTTAGTCCACGGAAAACAACATTGATTTTTGTCATACGTGACAAAACAAGAGTAAGTGTGCTGTGATCACACTCATTTTTCTCAAAGTTTTCTGTTATTTCTTGTATAAAGTTTTCAATTTGTTTCTTTAAAGACTCCTCTGGAAAATTTAGAGCCTGTATTGAGGGAAGATATCCAAAAGGTAAAAT